ACACACACACACACACACACACACAGAGGCAGACTCCCACCCTGCTTATCTACCAAGCTGGTGCCTCAGACACAACCAAATTACGTAAACAAACAGCTGACATCATGGGCGCACGCACACACAAACACACAAACACAAACACACACACACACACACACACACAGAGTACATAACAGTGACTTACATTCATTTCATGAAGACTTACTCTAACATTAACAGTCAGCACTTGCCTAACACTAACCATTACCTAAAACCTAAACCTGACGTTAACCTAAACCTTAAAACTTGTCTTCACCTTAAAACCTAAGTACACACAGTATGACACACGAACACACACACACACACACAACTACTCAAAGCTTTCCTGTTACTGGTCTACTTGGTTGGAATGTGATCAAAACAGTTAAAGTGTTTGTATGTGACAGAGAGTGTGACGTGCCGGGGGGGGGGGACCACACACACACACACAGAGGCATTTTGACAGTAAGACATTGTAAAATATCTACTCAGACACACACACACACACACACAGACTGTATGAGTCATCACCAGCAATCTCTTATCAAGGTGTAGAAGGCAGCACATCGTTAATCCACCAGTCACACTCTGAATGTACACACTGTACTGCAGCTGTGTACGTTGTGTTTACACATGATAACGTTGATCTACTTTGCAAATCTAGAGTCAGACCTGTTTGTTTTGTTCCTGGATGAAGGGGACAGGTCTTTGAGCCGGCTGTTTGAATACAGTTTATTTAAAAGAGATGCTGCGTATACCTCAATATGTTATTTGAGCTGTAAGACAAATCGTATAACTCAATTATATGAGTAAAACCCCATCGTTTATTAAATGTATAGACAATCTGTCGTTCTGGGTTTAATATGGCTCATTCCAGTGTTTCAAACCCTCTCGGACCTCGCAGGGCCAATGTTTACGGAGACTCCGCCGTTCGGGATGTTCTTGGGGTGTATATGTGGCAGCCACAGTGTGAGTGTGTCGTGTGCTGCACTGTTTCCCTCCGCTCCATTTATTCTAGGTCACATTCACTGAATATTTCATGGCTCAAGTCTGGTGAAGAGCTCAAATTTAGATGGTTAAATCTGGGATGGGGTCCAGGCATCTATCGGCCGACCTGTGCCACCTTTAGTGAAGTCAGCACATGAAACTGAGTCGTCCTGGTGAGTCCGTCCACGTCCAACCATTAGATATAT